AGTGAATGAGGCCGAGTCTCTGCCCTGCGAAATTCATTCATTCGGCACCGATTTGTGGATTTGTGGGCGCCGGGATGCCAGCAGAACAGGCGCGGTCCCAGCCCTCACGGGGAGGGGTCGGGAGAGGCAAGGACAGGGCCCTGCAGGATGTCACGTGTTGTGGTGGGGGGCACCTACCGCGGCCTGCAGAAGGTGACCTCCAAGCCCAGGGGGAGGGAGGGAGGCTGGCTGGGAACGTGGTCAAGGCCCAGACAACCTGCAGGAAGGAAGGAGGCCTGAACCCCAGAGAGAGCCCCTGTCCTTGCAGGCAGCGGGAAGGTGTGAGGCCCGAAAGAATGGGGAGAGCCAGTGGGGGCAGGCGTGCCCTCTCCCGGAGGAGCTGGGCCTCTGCGATTTAAGCAGGGAGGTAACGGTCAGATCTGCCTTCTCTGCTTCCCTGCCTGAGCGTGAAGGGGCTTTGTGGCCCAGACTAGTGGTGTTGGCTCTACCTGAATGCTCGGAGGCAAGGGACGGGGGGGCAGGGTATAGTGGCAAGGGTAAGGGTCTACATGACCTTCCCCGGCCACCCCATCTACAGTGTCAGCATGTTGGGACCACTCCTGTCCGTTCCCCAGCATCCATCACAGACCACACTTCATGTCCGTTTTATTGGTTGTGTTTTGCTATCTCCTCCACTAGAGCATGAGCCCCCAAGGGCAGGAATTCTTGACTTATTTGTAGTTGTATCTCCAACCCCTAGAAGGCACCTGACTTGCAGTGGCCACTTAGCAAACCTCCGAATGAGGGAGGGGCGACACCGGTGCTGGCGGCCTGGGGGTGCACAGAGCACGGCAGGAAGGGGCAGCCCTCCCTCAGGGCCCGCAGGGATGAGGTGGTGGGCATGGTGGGCAGTGTCTTCTTGTCCCCACTTCGGCCCAGTATTCAGACCTCAGGGCATCCAGCAAGCACAGAGGAACTGGGGAGACCAAGAAACCCTGCTTCTCAGCCCCTCAGTGCTTCCTCCAACCTCCAGGCATGCCCGAGTCCAGCTTCTCCCCTGAAGGCCTTGCCTGGGTCAAGCCTCAGGCCCCGGGAAGCCTTCAGGTGGGGTACACTTGCTGACCTGCTGAAGCCCATTCTGTAAAGGAAGTGGGGAGGTCACAAACCCCAAGAACTGGGACTGACTCACAGTTGGAGGGACCTGGTTTAGACCTGGAAACAGGATGTCCCAACGGTGAGAACTGACTCCGAATGGACACCCAGGAGGGACCCATGGGGAGGTCCTCGGAGCTGGTCTGACCAGCCTGAGTGTCGTGCCTGGGAGCAGGGGAGCCAGCATGGGGACCAAGGCCTGGTCAGGATGACAGTGATAGGGGTAGCCCTGCAGAAATCCAGGTGCTTCTCCTGGGCCTATTCCTTGCCCACAGCCCACGTGCCAGGCACTGTGCTGGGCAATGCGGACACTGCCATGACCAACATGATCCATTTCCTTAGGGAGTGCAAGGACCTCCCCCCTCCTCTGCCTGCCCCACGGGGGTCCCCAGATTACACTGATGACAAATGCCATGAAAGGAACACAGGGGGCGCTGGGGAAACGTGCACAGAAACTGCGGGGTGGGGGGCAGGGAGGTTCCTGGGGGCTTCACAGATTCACTGTCATTCAGCAATTTGCTGAGTACCTACTATGTGCCGGGCTGTGGTGGAGCTTACAGTTAGTATGAAGAGAGGGATAAACAATAAACAATGGACCCAGAGGTGATCATACTAAAAAGTCAGAGAAAGACAAATATCACACGACATCACTTATATGTGGAATCTAAAAAAAATGATACAAATGAACTTATTTACAAAATAGAAACAGACTCACAGAGAAAACAAACTTATGGTTACCAGGGAAGAAAGGGTGGGGGGAAGGATAAATTAGGAGTTTGGGATTAACAGATACACGCTACCATATATAAAATAAACAGCAAGGACCTATCGTATAGCACAGGAAACTATATTCAATATCTTATAATAATCTATAATGGAAAAGAATCTGAAAAAGAACACATATATGTGTAACTAAATCACTTTTCTGTACACCTGAAGCCAACACAACATTGTAAATCAACTATACTTCAATTTTTTTAATTAAAAATTTTTTGAATAACAAAATTCATGAGTAAAATATATCATGTCAGAAGTGAAAACATAACAATAAGGCAGGGAAGTGGATGCGAAGTGCTGGGGTGGGAGGTGTGAGGTGTTTAATGGCAGGGAAGCCTCACGCAGGAGGCACTATTTGGACAAGGGCCTGAACGGCGGACGACCTGGCCAGGGTCCGCAGTGGAGCCCTGCTGGCCTGTGTGCGGGAGATGAGATCAGACTCCGAGATGTGCTGGTATTTCGCAGGATGTGTGCACTGACTCCAGGCAGGCGGGCTGGAAACAGGGACCTCTGGCAGGTCAGTGCATCATCAGCCGGGGTGGCGGGTCCTGCGCAGCAGGGAGGTCGCGGAGAGAACCAGTTAGACTCGGGTTATATTTTGAAGATAGCCGTGACAGGGTAGCCAAATGAACTGGGTGGGGCTGTGAGACAAAGAGAGAAAGGAGTGAAGGCCAAGGCCAAGGATTTTGACCTGAGCCACTGCAAGAATGGTTTCCATTTGCTACAGTGGGGAGTGGGCAGGTTTGGAGGCGGGAAGAGCAGGAATCTGGTTCTGGACGACTAAAGTGTAGGATCCTTATGAGCCGTCCAAGTGGCAACGCGAGGAAGCAGGTGATCCCAGCCCCTGGAGTTCACAGACAGGGCCAGGCTGCAGGGATCAGCTGGGAGTCATTCTACTAGAGATGGAATTTAAAACACTGCGACAGCATAAGGTCACTAAGGGAGTGAGTGTAGATGAGAACTGAGCCCCAGGGACACAGGTCAGGGAGACAGAGTGGGGCCGGTGGCGAAGTAGGAAGAGCGCAAGGAGGGTGGGGTGCCCTGTAAGTCCCTGGAAGGAGGGAAGAATGCATTTTAGGAAGAGGGAGAGACACAGGAGCTGGTCGGGCAAGGATGGGCAGAGTGTTCTGGGCCCCCATGTTATGGGGACAGCCTTACCCTCTTTCCTGACCTAGATTTCAGCCCAGAGGGTCCCCTGCCCACATCCAAATGCCTTACCCAGAGCCACGCCAGACTAAGCACTCAGATCCACTCTCTGACGCCCTGGTTGTTCTCCTGGTGGTTCTGGTTCTTTCTGCCACAGGAGTTTGGTGTTTTTAATGTGAAGGAAAATGTGTGGACAGGCTTTACGCCAGGGTTTCACAACCGGATTCCCATGTTCAGAGGCTCCTTCTGGCTGCTGTGGACTGGAGGGGACAGAGTCAAGGCTCAGAGGCCGGGAAGGAGCCAGGGAATTTGAGTGGCAACTGATTAGATGGGGGCTGGGGGATGAGGGAGAGAAAGGGACCAAATGGACCCCTGGTTAGAGGTGTGGCAAGGAGCAGATCATAAACCAGTGCACTTAGAATAATCGAATTAGCTACCTACCTGTGTAGACAGCAGTCCAAAGGGTAAACCTTCAAGGTGTTATGGCAATTGGTGCCTGTATAGGTGGGATTACAAGCATTTTCCTTCCTTTTTCTTTTTTTGTTTGTATCGCTCTTTTTTTCTTTCATTTATTTTTTTACATTGAAGTATAGTTGATTTACAATGTTGTGTTAGTTTCTGGTGTACAGCATAGTGATTCAGTTATACATATGTTTCTTTTCAGTCTTTTTCATTATAGGCTGTTATACATCATTTAGTTTTCTTCTCTCATCTGTATTTTTGCTTGCATTTAAAAAAATTGGGATGTAATCCACATGACATGAATTCACCATTTTAAAGTATACAATTCAGAGTTTTAGTATATTCCCTAGGTTGTGCAACCATCCCCATCATCTAATTTCAGAATCTCTCTCCTCTGTTCTGTATACACTGTTTTCTACAACTAAACACATTGCTTTGGAGCAAATAAATAAGAAAGATATTTAATCAAATCATTTGCTCATCAGCGGGTAGCCTGAGGGAGACGCCTTCCTGAGTCAGCCACCAGACCTCGTGGAGACCCTCATGGCCAGGCCTCCCTCCAGACGTGGTGGTGAATCTGAAAGAGGTGGCGGCACTGCCTGGGAATCTGCATTTAATCCAGCCTCCCCAGCCTCTAGTCCTCCCCCTTGCCTTTCAGCAGAGTCCCAGCTCTCGTGTTATAAGCTCGCTGGGAGACTGACACCAGAAGCTTGCTCAGTAGTTCTTCCAGAAAGCTCGCGGGGGAGCGAGGCGTGACACGCACATGGTGGGCAGAGTCTGGATTAAAGAACCCCCTAGGTCACTGCATCCTGGGTGTCAGAGGCCTCCCCTGCGGAATCAGCAGCTCCACCCTGATCTCCTCTAAGTCTTAGTCCATGTGTTCAGTGCCTTAGGGGCTGGGTCCACTTGAATGTCTCAGAGGCACCCAAACTCATCAAGACAGAAACATAACTTACCCCTTCCTCCCCTCAAAAGAATCTTCTCCCCTTGGCAAATGGTCCCTCCCATACTCAGTGGCTCCCATCAGAAATTTGGAATATCTTAAACTCTTCCTTCTCCCCAGGAACCCCACCCTCTCGATCCATCAGCCCCACCCAGTCCATTGGATTTCCTACTCCCTAAATAGCCTTCAGAGCTTAACACTTTTCTTCATCCTCAGCCCTCCTCACAACAGGGATCATCCAGCTACTGCCCTCTCTCAAAGCCACTGTCTCCTGCCTCATCTCTTGGTTCCCCTAACAAGCTGTTACCCTCCTGGTGCTGCCCTCCCTCCTCCTCCCTCCCATGACTGCCTGACCCTGCAATGTCCAGCACGGAAACCCCTCCCACACACGCAGCCGCCGCCGAGCGCTTGAGATGCGGCCAGTCCCGGTGGAGACGTGCTCCGTGCAGGAAGCGCTCCGGGTTCCAGAGGTTCAGACAAAACACAAAGAATGAAGAAACTCTCATTCATGTATTTAAAAAATTTGGTTACGTATTAAACTGATACTATTTCAGATATAACAGGCGAAATACGTTATTAAAATTAATTCCACCTAAGGTTTTAAAATGAGCCCACTGGAAAATTTAAAATTCCACATGTGGCAACATTATATTTCTATGGGACGGTGCTGTCTTGGATATCTCTTCCAGACTCCACTTAAACACCACCTGCATGGAGCCTTCCCGGGGTCCCACAGGTGAGTGCTGGTCCCCCTGGTGAGCATCTACCCACTGGCACCCGGTCCTGGGCTTCGCTGCACTTTTTGTGATTTAAGGAGGTGTATCCCCAGGAAGTCCTCTCCATTCCTGCAGGTCAGGGGGCTGCAAATGGGGGCTGCCTGGATACAGTCCGATACTGGAGGGGGGGGGTGTTGGCATTTGGCCCAGTGGAGGAGG